ATTCCCCATCTTCCGCTGGAATTTGCTTCGACATTCCAATCTTCATTTCGCTCTCTTATCCAAATGGGCAACCAAAACCGGGGCACGAAAGTGCATGGTTAATGGTTGTAGAAACTGAAAATGAAGCTTTTTCCATCCACTAGGTGCCTCGAGAAACATGGCACGCTATAGCTATCTATTTGGTATCGTGCGTAAAAGAGGTTCTAACCAGCGTTATCTGTGGGGGTCGACCACCTGCTCCAATGAGTGACCACGATTATCTGAAAATCAGCAACTTACCTCAACATGACTTGTTAAGTTTACCCATCATACCCGTGCAATGCGGTATAGACAGCGGCGTTCGAACACCGACATTCATCCTGTTCCTGTAATAGCCAAGTCTCTGCATCATCTAGATTAATTGGTCTAAGTGCCCCAGCATACACTTTACCCTTCAAAAACAAGCGGACCTCAAATTGGCAAACGCTAACCGAGTCTTTGATGTACGTGTTGAAACTAATCCGTCAAGTAAGATATAGTTAGCTATGTGAAAAAATCTGCTACGATCCCCAATTTGAGAAATGAGAGTCCTTCAGCAACATTTTGCACCTCGAAAGTGCAAAATGCATGCAAACTTAGTCACACTGGCACTGAAACCATCTAAAATAGCATGCAACTTATCTCGATCTTCATGCAGTAGTACATGATCATATCTATTCTCCAGATCAGATCGAAATATTGAATTAACCTTTAGAAAGAGGCATCGTCAGGGAACAGAGCGGTCAAATGCCGCATTCAGATCGACGAAGATGGAAATGGTGGGCCTACGAAAGGAATTTCTGTATTTTGATGCTTCTTCAGATAACATATTTGTCGGATACTCTCCAATAGATGAGGACTGATATAAACTAGTAGTATTTACCCAGTTGAAGCGGGAACGGGCAGATCTGTTGATGGGAGTCCACGTGATCTCTGCCCCGAGATCTTCTGTTCAACGCTCAAGACGACGTTGCTGAATCTAAATCAGCGTATCGTCAGACTCCTTGAGTATCTCACTGTTTTGGGGCCCGAACTCCTGGTTAGACGGAAAAGCCTGAGACTGTTTCCAATGGACACCGCCTTCTCTACCTCACTTCATTTTGCCACCACCACCCGTCGCAGTCATTCGTCAGGCGTTTCAGGGATTTGAGTGCAGAGTCAAATCTCGCATCTGTATTCTAAACATTTTTTTTAATTACACACCTATGTATGATGATTAGCAGACGGAGCGAACCCCATACTCACGTGGACCTGCTTTTCAGCGGTGGATACCGGCAACCTAAGCCCTGGGACTTGGAGTGGCGAACCGCATAAGGCCCCGATAGTTTAGGCATGATATTGAACCGGACGACAGCAGAGCTGCCTACCACCAAAAATGGGTGGTGATGGCGGGGCTCGAACCTCGGACAATAGGGTTCCATGAAGCTCGTCAAAACTCCAACTACATACATTTTGAGAAAATAGTTTTGTTCGAAGACAAACAACTACACGCGAGGATAATCAGGCCAAAAATTCCAGCTCAAATCCTATCAATCCAACAAGGATAGACATCATGACCTTAAAAGTAAACTGGAAGTTGATTTTTCAAATGTGAAAACACAGGAATTTTTTACACAACGACAGAGACAGATCCGAACACAAAATAAAACAAGTGATTTGAATTACGACACATACCTTTGTCCATTTCAAGCCCTAACGCTTATGTTGGCCGTTCCATACATCGAATACAAAGTCACCACACTAAGGTGGGTAAAACAACGTTTCACGGAGCCTGAAACCCATTTAGTGACAAAATGCCTTTCTGAAAACAGTAAGATGACAGTCCGCTCCAAAACTGATAGGCAGAAAAAATCGACCCTATGCTACTGTTCATTACTTCTGTGGCATGTTGGTGAACAAGGTGGACGCTTGCACCAAAAAAAGAAAACGATATGGTTGAGTCAAAGATAAAATCAGTACTACAACCTGGAGAGTAGACAAAATAACCAGACGGAAACAAGGAGACCCATGTTATAAAGACCAATCAGAAATCAAGGCAAAAGCTAAGTGTTTCGCATGCCCACGCTTCATCCGGAATTGGGGATTAATCGCTGAATTATAACTCAGTACGAGAGTACTGCAGTAAAATATCACTACTGATTTTGTAATTCAATTGAAATAGATTTTTAGCATTCTGTTCAGCCAAGGGATAAGTTCTCCGTGTGTTGTAACGACACGTGTTTGAAACTGATAACAAGCAACATGTTTTTTTTATTACACCAGTACCCGATAACACTATGCAAACATTACACAGTCTTACCTCAACAAATCTTTCAACTGAGCGACAGAAGTAGACAAAGCTTGTTGGGAATGTGAGTACTGATCGGAAGCATTCGCGAACGCGGTTTTGTCCGTCGTAATCAACTGCTGTGAATGAGTGAGAAGCTCTGAGCTGTGCCGAGCCACAGTTTGACCGGACCCCAGAAGTGGTGCTTGCAGCTAATATGGGAAAATAGGGATTTGAAAAACTGCCAAAAATGAGTAAATGAAAGGATGCAATCGATACAGTCTGCTTGGTTATCAAGCAATCAGACAGGTTTCAGGAGACCCACACACACACACTGCTCAAAACAAACATCAAACAAGATTTCGAAAAACGAAAGTGCTTACAGCCAGAGCTTTCTCGGCTACTTGCGACGGGGATCCACCGGCCGCGCGGAGAAGAATTTCAGCATACTGATCGATTGTCTCTTCCAGCTGATTGGCCCGTGATTTCAGTTGACTGAAAGCCGTGGCTGAATCCGGTGTGGAGACTGTTCTGACTGATTGTACGATATTTGACACCGAGGATGCATCTCGAGCAACTCGCTCCAGTGACTAGACAGAGATAGAAATTGGTCATTTGATGTTAGCTTTCCAAATAAGATTCCAGTATAACAAGAGTAAAACTACATCGCAATCATTTCAAGCTGAGGTACGGTTGGTTTGTACTGGATCTGAAAAGGCAACTGGTCTTTTCGTAAGACCAGGGCATCGTAGGTGACTGATAGCAACAAAGCTGTGACAAACAAGGTTTTAAATCACGCCTTGGTAGGATAATCAGTAAAAAAATATTTCACTATCCCAAATACTTTCTGTTACAATAGATCTCCATGACAAAAATGATGGCTGATGTTCTTCTTACATCTCAAATATGCATAAAGGCAAGCACAAGGAGGGACAAGTCGGTTTACAGCTTCGGTTGATAACCTCTTTCCTCGAGAACACGAATATATTAGCCCTACCCATGAAGCTGTTATGTATGTTCCACCTTGTTATTGTAATTGAATCTACTCAGACCACGGTGCTCCCCCTCCTACTTGTGGTCTGGGTCACTCGCAGTGGAGCCATTTTATTCCCCTCAGAAAGAGTCACTCTCGAGAATGACAGAATGGGATTTCCACACAGCTGAAAAGAATCCCATTTGATAATTCTTTTGTGGTTGAACATAAGCCGCGGAGACCCACAGTAATTGAGAACACGTGAGGAAGGAGTGACACCGGCGAGTTGCATTTCCTAGTGCGAACTTCTTCAACGCCTACATCAGTGTATGATAATGAGACGGTTTGAAATGACAAGACAATAAACGAAATCCTACATACCAAATGTCAAATCATCAATAGAAATGCCAAGAATACAAGGAAAGAGATGGGGAAACATGAAAAGGGCAAAAACAAGACACCAAAGGCGCAGAAACAGGTGTCGTGTTTTTGAACTACTCATTGATGGCCACTTGGACGATCAGCTGACCGCTAGTGATTTGTTTGCGACAATGTGGTGGGGGAGGGCGGGTCAGCAAGGCCGAAAAGAATCGAGACCGTATGACAGTGACGCATGGACGATTGCACGACGTACAAACACAAACGGGAATCGGTCCTAGCGTATGAGTCACGCTGTGGTTATCAGTAATATTCCGCAACCCAACTGCCATCACACATCATGATTTAGTTCGACGGCCATTCGGAAGGGTGGGCCAACTGGCGTCTTATCCATAAACCTTTCTGACTAACAAAAGGAATCACAAAGAATTTGCAGACAATTACTACGACCCTCGGCTTGCATGAGTCATAACACGAGTTTTGTTCAGCTTATGTGCATCACTGCGATGTGACTACAAATCATTCGGTCGACCGGACCCTGTCCGTCACACTAGAGTGCAGCAGAATGATCAGTTGGGTGAATCTGAGGAAAAAAATAACGATTAGACGCTTCAAAAGGAAGTAAAATGCGTCACACAAAACGAATAGGTTTGTCTGTATACCTCGGCCATGGCTTTCTTCTCAGCAGAGCTCTTGCATTCGGCCAGTAACGGACGTGTCGATTGGCACAATTGCGTGGCACGCTGAGCCACATTGTTTGCAATATTCATAATCTGTTAACAGAGGAATGGTGAAACGGAAAAAGTGAACTTGTTCAAAAAGAGGAAAAAATCCGAACAGAAATGTTAGGAAATTGATCCAATCATTACGATCCATAGCACATTTAAAGGAGACTAAATTCGGTTTAAGAACAAAATCTGGAAATTACGCTTTGTGTTTGTACTAACCAGCTATTTACGACGGTCGCATTAAATGTCATCTATTGAGTCTCCATGAACTTTAGTGTTCCCCAGTCAACGACCAGTATAAGGGAACACTGGGAGAATCGAGTAGATCGTAGTGGTTTTGTTTGAAATGTTATTGGTCTAATAATAATGTTAGCATCGTACGGTGAAATTCTCTGAAAGGAACTCCACGGATAGCCCTCCGTGAACGCTTGTCGTACTGAGCGCTGTAACATCACTCGTAAGCAAAATGACACCCCGAAAATTGGTTGGGTGATTAAGTGAATGGAACAATTGCATGGTGTCAGAGAGATAGCGGTTTTGTTTCGCCGCGGGGTCAATAGGCTAGTGCTCATGACGGAGACGTTCAATAAAGCCGAAACGGCGGAACAATAATGTTTCCAGCTTAATAATCCATGTTTTCAGTGAACTGTTTCAATCAATCATCATTTAACGACTTAATGTTTACATATCAGAAGCATTTTACAAAACCCGGTAAATCAATGTTGGCGAATGGAAGAGATTTTTGAGTTTCATTTTGTACAATCAATAACCCTGCACTTTCGTGCGCCGGTTTCCGTTGCTCTCTTTTGGCTACCCATTTAGATGAACAGTAGGAGAAAAACAGGAAAGGTAAAAGTAGGATCAGAGAGAAAATTTAGAATTTCAGTGGGTTAATAATGTAGAGAAATTGAGAAGATGCACGAACGCCACTAATTACGACACTCAGCCATATCACTCAGTGTCTCTAACCATCGGTTACGATCATCCCGAGGTCCCCAGCCGCGGAGTCTGAAGGGCCTTATGTGATCCAGTCCTCTGGTTAGGGTTTTCATACTTTCGTGCTAGGTCTTACGTTGACCACACTTGGCATTTTTCCACCCACTAACTGCCTCGGCGAACATCGCTCGCCGTGGTAACCTATTTCATAACATGCGTAACACATACCCCAACCAACACAAACTATGGAGGTCGACCACTTACTCCAGTGAGCGGCCGCGGTCACCCAAAACTCTGCACCTAACCTCAGTATTGTTCGTCCGGCTACCCCACCAGACACGTGCAATTCTACGTAGACAGCGGTGTTCAAACACCGACAGTCTATCCTTATCCCGTTTTCCTAATAGTTACATTTCTGCGCCGTATAGCGGAAATGGCCGAACTGCAGCGGCATACACTCGACCCTTCACAGACAGCCGGATGTCGCGACGGNTTCTGTTTGCGAGCTGCACTTCATCCGTGATGCGTTCACCGGGTGAGATGTAGCTTCCTAAATAACAAAACCGATGATTATCGCTCTCCGGACACCAGTATGAGCAGTCAATGAAGGAGTAAGTAGCATGATTGACTACTACCATAGTACCAATATACCAAACAAACCATTCAGGGAGTAAAACACAAGACGGAATCCAAACATTTCCGGAACGACCATATCGATCATTTAAAGAAAGATGCGTATGTTCATTCCACGACAGTCAAACAGAAAAAACACCTAACTTGGTTTTTACTCGATGGGAGCGTGCATCATAAGCCGAATAACGGTGTACATAGTGCGCTTGGAAAAAGGTGACAGGCATGACAAAAATTGCGATACCAAAACCCCCAAAGAATCATTCTCCGAAGTTCAGACAGCTTTGATAGGGCAGCGAACAATCGGATATGGCATGGCCAGATCGGGATACATCCCACCGAATACGAATAACGTAAAGGCAGCACGTCTATTGTGTGAGTTGAAGCATCTTCGAAGGGCTGATATACGACAAACAAAGTAACTTAACTCTCACAGTGTGTGAAAGGAATAGAACGAATTAAACTTAGGAATAAATACGGTTTTTCAAACCGCTTTGAACCATTTCCGACCCTATGATTGAAACAGGGAACAAATTTACAGGATGATAAGAGTGTTGGATCTAAACTGGCCAAAAGATTAGAGATGGTATGGGTATTTAGTTCCCCTAAACGTGCTGCATAAGAAGATGCTAACGGATCGTCTAAAGCTGTTTAATTATATTGGAATCGAGTTATAGTGACAATGAGAATTGACTAACCTCTAGGGACAACAGACCATCCGGTGTAACAGACAGTTGACTGTTGTTTAATTCGCTCACTCCTTTCCGGACAGCAGCAATATGATCATGCAATGCGGTCAGTTGATCGCTCTTCGCGAATAAGCTCACATGTCCGGGTTTGGAGTCCGGATGAGAGGCACTGACTAGATAGGCTGCTTGATTTGTGACTTGTAACAACTGACAGGTAGCATGCGCCACAGACTTTACAGCATCGGTGAACTTTTCGACGTCATGTTTGACAGCAGCCTGTGGTATTGCATCCATGAATGATTTCATGTCCTGTGTCATCGACGAGGGAGAAATAAGTGTATGGGAAAGGAAGAAAATGAAGGTGCCCAGTGAACATTACTGAGAGACGTTCCACTGAACTCTGGTTTATTAACAACCGTAGTGCTATTTTTGCAATATTACAGTTCATAAAGCCAATAGATCCATCTGTGAAATTTCCATAGCAGATATTATATAGAGGTAATCTACGCTGACTGTCATGTAGCTATATACCTTCAAAATGGCATCTTACAGCCAAACTACAAAGAAATAAAGTTACTAAAACTGGCACAATGGAGTTAGATAATATGGAACAAATGTGGAATATCACATAATTAGACTATGTTGACAAGTGACGAGTGTGCGTTGCATCGCGTTGCACTGTGATTAGAAAACGTCTGTTCGTGTTTCATTAGAAGACAAAATCGCATTTCATCGACTAAAAAAGAACACAAGTGCATCAAGATAGAGAGCTACATATTCTGATAATGAAAAATAGACGGAACCTAGAAATAAAATGGGGGGAGGGGAAACAGGACTATCATTTTCATCCTGATTATTAGTTTTATCTTTATCTTATCAGCTACCGACNCCGACTACAGGATGATGAAGGAGTGAACCCATAGTCACAAAGGCCTAGTGTTTGTCTATGATAACTCGGTGTTTACCCGTATAGCACTCCGCTGGTTTGTGGTTCGCTTTCAGGTGTGCAAATTATAAAAACGAGCAGTGCTGACGAGACTGGCGAGGTTAAGCATAAAGCAGAGCTTTGAGCTACAGCTCTGTTCTGCTCTACTCTTACCGTGTATTCTATTTCGAACGGCACTAGTCAAGCGATTTAGATCATCATCACATAAAACCCTACCGTCGCCGACTGGCAACCTCCGATCGTGGACCGGTATCGTGCGTTGTTATCGCACCTCACCAATTATTCCTATACGGCGAAACGTCTCAAATGAGAACCACATAATTTAATAACCTGGATCGAGAAATAAGAAACACACAATCCACAATGCAGTTTTTCAAGATTTATCCCAAGCAGTTCGCAAGATATAGCGAAGCAGTAAAGAATAAAGATGTGTAGTACGCGAATAATGTTATTGCTCTGTTTCACGTGAAAGTACCCAACCTTCCAAATCTGAGGAAAAAGCTGGCTTAGGAATCAGATAATTATTATGGTAAGTGGTGCTAGTCGGACGGTTGAAGTCACCATCACAGATGCACCATATACATACATACATGCAGTACTGACAAGAATACGACCGTGACTACACTAAGCTGGACACAAGAATCAGTAAATTAGGCTTGAGACAAGATTGTATTGTAAGCATCCTGAAACAGAGGTTAAGGTAGTTCAAATGGAGATTCAGTAACACGTAAAGAGAAACGAAAAATGAAAGAACAGCACTCAAAAGAACACCAGATCGGATGAATTTCCGGCAGGTTGAATATGCTCTCGTAGGTATAATGAAACCAGGCAATTAACTGCATTTAGATTTAGATTTTTGAGTCAAAGTTAACATCTCAGCCAAAAACCTAGGATCAAACAAAAACCCTTGACTGTTACAAGGTGATGTGTCAGGTAAGAAAATAGATTGGACGAATAAAGAATGAAAAAGGCTTTCTTTATTCACTGAGGTTTTCCCGAAATTCCACTGCGAGTTTCCTCCAGCTGACTAAAATATAAGTGGAAAATGGCACTGGGGAATCACGCACACCCCAATGTGGGAGCGCCTATGTCTGCTTTTGGGATCGTGTTGAGGAATGGAAGTGACATGCAGATAACTCATTATGCCACGGGTGTGTCGCATCAGTGCGAATCTTATTTGTAAACTTTTCACAGGATTCGCTGTGATAATCCGCTGCGGGGGGGGCGGGGGAACGGAGATAAGACAGACAAGAATTGGGACAGCTAGACCGTAGCACAATGTCTGGACGTAGTTATGGAGACAAAACGCACATTAAAATGCTGAACAGTTGTGCAGACGGGTCCAGGTTACGTGAAGTTATTGGTTGACTATGTAACCGATTTGAAGTGGGGGACCATACGGGCTAGAAAAAGTTTGTACTTTGAACATCAAAGAACGTCCCGTTCGGGGCAAGTAAATAAAACGTACCTGATCAATATTCGATACGTGGTCCAAGCAATCCGAGTAAGTGTCATTGTTCACGGGTAGTCGAATGGCACAGTAACTGAGCGAAGGTAGTGGTGAGTTGGAGCCAGTTGTGGACTTGGATTCTGCGGAGATAGCGGAAGGCTGAATCAAGGTAGCAACGCGACGCACTGCGGCCTCGCACTGACCACGCATTTGAGCCATCGCTTCGGTTTCGTGGGTGTCCGGCATAGTAACAGCCCAGGAAGTACGATCATTGTTCTTCTCCGCACTGCTGGCTGCCTTTGTGTCTGCTTGCAAACTGAGCTCCACAGCCCAATCACGCAGTTGACTGGGAACATGGATAATGAGTGGGCAGAGTCAGTCAACGGGTTCGTTAGGTGAGGAGATCAAGAAAAAGTTTATCCTTTTGAACAAGGGGTCTATCGGACCAGTTTATTTAGAGCTTGCAAATGTAATTAAAACAAGATAATTACTGAATCAAGTTTCATAAGAACGAAGACGAATGGCAACGGATGCGCTTTAGTTATGCTCAAAAACTGAAGATTATGGAGGAGGAGGTAATTATTCGAGATTCGTCAATGCACACGTTTAAATTAATTTTGATGAGGGATTGAACACCCAACGTGTCAACTGTTATGCACACTTGACGAATTCTATACACCAAAAGCTTCGAGAAGCGTTTCAACGTTTCAATCGAGTTAACAATTATCGATTATGCATTTTAGAAGACCCAGAAATCCGGTTGCACAGGCTTGAAGGTCCCCAACTCGGAATGATTATGACACGGCAATCAAGGTTACGTATTCAAGTGTGCGTAAGGACACTAGACCAAATGAAAATGTAGGGGCAATCTTCCGTAGAGATGAGCGAAAACAGCTTTTTCAGGTTAATTCTGCTAAGCAAGAGACACTCACAGGATAGCCTGACCCAAGGGAAGATCTGGTATCGGTTGGTCGTAATCAATCTCAGCAGCATTGGTGTTCACCGTATGCATGGCGTACCGTAACCCCACAGCAACTGGCGGTCCCACTTTAGTTAATCCATCCAACAAATGACCGATTGTTTCAATCTGAGTGCCTCCGCGACCACCAGCGGCTCGAATGACCTCAGCCAAAGCCGATGTAATATGATCGGTGATATGGGCGAGACGGACAACCTCACTGCTACTACCAGATGTTTTAGTTCCATCACCATTCTGTTGCGAACGTGGCCTGTTGGTCCTTTCGGTTAACTGACAGCTGGCGTCCAGACAAATCTGCAAACAGGAAATTAATACACGTGACCTAAGAAAACACAAGGAAAACTAGAAACTGGTGGGCAAGGCTACCGATGAATAGCGTTCAATTATCATTGGATTCGAACCTAAAGGTGTGTCATAGTCTCTCGCATCATTTCACGCGAATTAAATTCGTGAACAATGCCATCGGGAACAAAATGATTAACTCAGGTTCTGAACGTAAATCGAAAATTTTCCCTAAACAATCTCATTCTCCCCAAGCCCAAGATGACAATGACGACGACGATGATAGAAATAGGTGTCTTATTCCAAAGAAATACAGTGTAGGTATTTCAAGTGGTGAATGCATGAGAAAAAGTCACAAAGTTCACACTGTGAGTAGAAAAAGTAGCACTAAGTGATAACGAGTCACACTGTAAATGAATTAGTGAATACACAGCGATCCGCTTCCGTTCCTTCGCCGCCCACTGCACACACACAAAAGGCTGGATCGTGTATATATTTTCAATATAACGGGTAACGGTTAGTGAAGTTCAACACTGTATACTGATAAAACCCACGGAACATTACACGTTTGCCAACGATTGAAAGTTTCAAATGAGNAGGCGCTATCCCTTGCAAGGAACACTTAAAACAAAACAAACAGAAGACTGACGTAAGGCAGTCATTCTTTGTGATGACAAATGATATGCTAGGACATTTAGTTAGAATTAAAGATGTGACGGAGCAACAGACACACTTAGGAACACATTGGTATCTATGGCAATACTGCCCCAAAAACATTGATGGCATGTTTACTAGTACATGCGTAAAGTTACTCGTGAATCAAGCCTAAAAAACATTAAACTGGCCGGTTCATTTTGTACCTATCCTGCGATCGTAGCGTCTGCGTGGAGATTTGGTGTGACAAGATGTAGCTACGAATTCTGACTTGCACCGCGGCCTGATTAGCGGGAACACAAACGAAAAAATGGAACGTGTGACCCCCATGAACGATTGTATGCGATTCGACGGTGTGGTTCAGTGATTAACAGGAGGTAGGAAAAAGAACGGATACACTGTCTGGAATGGCGTAAATCAAATCACACGAATTCACAGTGGAGATCGATCAAACACATTTTGGCACAGATAAACAGATATCGCGACAAGTTGAGATCTCAATAAATTAGCGCGATTCGACACAGGCAGCTATGCAATAACCATTTGTATCACACAAGTTCATTGAAAAGGCACACGGTGAAGTGGAGTCGGAACGCATTGGAAGCCATGTGACTCAAACGCATGCAAACGAGACGGGCTTGAACGGAATCGCTGAATAGCATAAGGGTGGTGTTTGCGCCACAGATCTTGTAAGTTTATACAACACACTGACAATCAACTGTCTCAATGAAAGCATGAAATTTTCATTTGTTCTATCTGTAGAATAAGAAACCGTTTTCAGCTCAAGACTGGCCAAACACGTACTTGTGCGAGGAGACTGTGAAAACGAGGATGATTCATCGTTATAAGCAGAACGACGTACGGCAAGGCAGGGGAACATACATAAGGGATTTCGAATTCAACATCACCGATCAAAACAAGTTCAACTGGGCAAGTGGAAAAAAAATTTGCATCAAGTCATCTGAATCAAAATGATGAAACTTACTTTAGCCATGCGACGAGCAGCACTGGCAATTTTGGCGTACACAGAGTGATCCGGAATCTGAGTAAACACATGACGTGGGGGAATTGCCGGTGGAGGTGATGAAGTACGATGACCGTTGCTCGATTGATTTCGTCCCAGGGTACCTTGGGAGGCGATATCGGGTTGGAGCATTGAGCTGGTGTCGTCCAGCAAAGCGATCAAACGACGAACAATCACCTCACCAGGCACGTAGCCCAAAATGGCATTGACCGAGGTTGTCAACTGGAGAGTGAGAACGTGAATGAATAGGAAAGGACGGAACGATAAGATTGCACGGCCGGGAATTATCGGGTCCGGTGGCATTGTGCTGGACCAACACACCCTTCCGAAATCCATATAAAACAATTTGCGATTGCGGGATGTATTGCGCACTAGCAAACTATATGTCAATAAGGAGTCCTTCGATTAACTGTAATACACTTTGTACTACTCTTCGTCATACTTGGCTTTTGACATTTTCAATTATTGCCACACGCCTTTGTTACTTATGGGATCACAAAATTGATCCGCCGAATTCGAGGAAATTTGATTTTGGCGCATCAAATATTGTAGAACCCAAACTACCCATGTCGGCCGCTGCTCATCTGGTCACCCAACATACACCTTAGGGTACATCGTTTAACGTTCCTGATTCCAAAAGGTCAATATTTCGCGGAGTGTGCAGTACTTGGAACACTGTCCCATCTTACGTCGTTTGTGCACCGATTGTTGAATTTTTCCAGCGCAGAATTGATGAAATCCTGGCACATTTCATATTTCAAATAGAACAAGGAGTAGCGAACAAGCTCGTCTTTAGTGATTCGTAGTCATGCCAAATACATCACAATAAATATTACGCTGTATATATATACATATATATATTATATTATTATTATATATATAGTTATATTATATAAATATATAAACCCAACGATTATGTGATCATTGAGAAATCCACATCCAGTCCTAAGATGAAATTAGCCCCAGATAATCCATGAGGTTATCTTCCCTTTCCCAAAACATCTGTTTACGTTTTTACGTAATAGTGATTTATTTTTAAACAGCGTAATATTTATTGTGATGTATTTGGTATGATTACAAATCACTGAAAACAAGCTTGTTCGCTAATCCTTGTTCTATTTGAAATGTGCTCTGTGAGACCGTTTAGACATTTCATATTCCTACATAAATAAGAAAAGCAAATTGGTTGAAGACTACCTATCATCTCCTACTCGGAACTCTGTAGCATTTTATCTTTTTTATCGAAAAGCCACTGTTTAAACATGAGAAGCATGAGATTGCGAGTAATTCCCAAAAAGCTTTGACTTTGTCTCAAACCTGTCTGGACATCTTTCTATTGTTTATCGGCCTGTGCTACTCCAGTTGCTCACTGTCCAGCTTGGAATGAAGAATGAGAGCGCATTAGGTGGTAAGTTGCTCTTAATTGCATCTTTCTAGTCAAGATGACTGTTTCCTCATTGGTCAGAACTGACATTCGGTCACTGCTTCCAAACATGTCGGATTTAACGCAATCATGTGAGCACTCACGTGGTATTACGTGCAAGAATACGCACAAAATCAGGGTACAGAGGATATTCTATTTTACTTTAAGACTTGGGAAAGCATCTTCTACACCCTAGTCAGCAACCGAACAAGCAATGCTGAGGTTAGGCGCAGAGTTTTAGGTATTCACGGTCGCCCACTGGAGCAAGTGGTCGACCTTCATAGTTTGTATTGGTTGGCACATATGTAACGCATGTCATGAGATAGGTTGCCACGGCATGTGATGTTTCCCGAGGCAGGTAGTGGGTGGAAAAAAGCCAAGGGTGGTCAAGCTAAGGCCTGGCTAGCATGAAAACCCTAACCATGAGACACGATCACAAACGCCCCGTTAGGTTCCTTGGATGGGGGCCTCGGGATCGTCGTATTCTTGTAACATTGGTCTACCAAAAGTCTCCATTTCCTCTTCGACTCTACTCTCAACTTTTCTGTCTTTCTCCTACAGCTTCATCCAAATGGGCAGCCCAAAGACAGCAACCATTTCAACA